GTCCGCTCCACGGGGGCTCTCGTGTGCCACGGGCTTTCAGGCCCCTGTTCTCAGAGCAGGGTCATTATCGTGGCATCGAGACACCCGGCTCCCCAGTTTCTGGGTGCCCCTGAGAGCCCCTGGGTGGGGGCTGGCAGGCCCAGGTGAGACAAGCCCCCGCTGCCTGTTGCTGATGCAGAGCGAGGTGCCCGAGTCCAGTCCTCTGCCCCGGGCGCTCCCGGGGGGCGAGGTTGGGCCCTGCCCCCCCCCCGCGCTGGCCCCCGCCGGGCCCCGGGCGCCCCCGGGGGGGGGGGGGCGCCGCCCCCCGGTGTCAGGGGGTGGGGGAGGGGCAGGGGCCGCCCCAGTCTCAGGGGGCGGGGCGGACACTACATTTCCCATCGCCCCCCGCGGCGGGCGGAAGCGGCAGGAGGACGCAGCAGCGGCGACCCCGGCCCGGCGGCCCCGTCACCCGGTAACCGGCCCCCGCCCGGCGCGTGACAGAGCCCGGGCCGCCCCCGAGCCCCCCCGCCCTCATCTCCCCCAGTGCCCCGCCCCTCGTGTACCCCCGAGCGCCCCGAGCCCCCCCGCCCTGACCCCTCATCTACCCCCGAGACCCCGCCCCGCCCCCAGCTCGCCCTGACCCCAGGGTCGCACCTGCCCCCTCGTGTACCCCCCAGCGCCCTGAGCCCCTCCTCATGTACCCCAAGCCCCCCTCCCGCCCCACCGCCCTGACCCCAGCGTCCCCTCTGCCCAGTCTCCAGAGCCCCCCGGGCTGCCCCCCAGTGTCCCCCAGCTCCCCTGGCCCCCAGAACCGCCTGACCCCGGGGTTTCACCTCCCCAAGTCCCCTGCCCCCAGCTCCCCTACCCTGCCCCTCTCCGTTACCTCTGCCCCCCAACCAGTACTCCCTGGCCCCCCCTCAGTTACCCCTGCCCCCAGTGCCTTCTGCCCCTCAGTTCCCTCAGTTCCCTCTGGGTCCCAGAGCCCCAGCTGCCCCTTCACCCCTGCCCATTGTCTCCCCTCTCGCCGTGCCCGGCCCCCCTCCATCCCGCGGGGCGGATCGCGGGGTGTCGGCACTAGGGGTGTGCTCAGATGTGGGGAAGAGGGTGACCGTTCCTGAGGCGGTATCAGGGTAGCTCCGAGCTGGGCCCCCCTTACTTTGGATTGGGGCGGGGGGAGGTGCTGTGCTCTGAGGGCGCGCTGTGCCTTGGGGTGACACGGGAGGCACTGACCCCTGGCTGTGCCCCTTTGGCGTATGAGCCGGGAGCGATGCCCTGTGCCCATCCGATCCCCTCTGGCCCTGCTCCACGGGATTCAGGGATCCTTTTCCCTCTGGGCCAGGTGCTGCGAGCTCCCCGTTGCAGGGTGTCAGCCTGCCCTGTCCCCAGGCAGTGGGCCAGGAGGGGTGGTGTGAGCAGCGCTGGAGTGGCTGTTAATAAGCCCGCAGGATGGATGAAGCCCTGTAACTCCTGAGAGCTTATTGAATTACAGAGAGATTCCAGTTGTCAGAGCGCTCGACAGAAGGAAGTTATATGGTGTCCCTCCGCAGCGCGGCGCCTCCCTTCCCACAGACCGCTCCAGGCTCCCTCTCCCTCATAAAACATGTGCCCGTCTTCCCGTCCGCCAGGGTCTGGTTTTCACTGTCTCCTGCCAGCCCTTGGTGTATCCTCCATTCTTCACACCCGGCCTGGGTTCTCTGGAACTGCCCCTCCCGGTGCCTTTGTCCTCACATGGGGTCAGGGCTCAGCAGCATTAGCAGACAAGCCCTGGGCTGAAATCACAGCAGCACTTTGAATGCTGAGCCAGGATGTCTGGGGAAGAGGGCAGAGCCAGCAGCCCCTAGTCTGGGGGTGCGTGAGGCAGAATGGGGGCAATGCAGGCAGCCCCTGGCATGGGGGGGGCATGAAGTGGGGGTGAGCGGTGCAGGCAGCCCCCAGTATGGAGGGCATGAGGTCGGGATGGGCGGTGCAGGCAGCCCCTGGAGTGTGGGGGGGTGGGCAGTGTAGGTAGCCCCCGGTGTGGGGGTGTGAGGCAGGGGTGGGCAGTGCAGGCAGCCCCTGGCGTGGGGAGCATGAGGCGGGGGTGGGCATTGCAGGCAGCCCCCGGTGTGGGGGTGTGAGGCGGGGGTGGGCGGTGCAGGCAGCCGCCAGCCCCTGCTCTGGAATTGGGGCCGGAGCGGTGCCAGCAGCCCGTGTGAAGTGTGAATGGTACAAGGGCTGTCGTTGGCAGGACTCCTGAATGGTGGTGGTCCTCTGCCCTTCTAGAGTCGCTCATGTACAGAGCTGGACGGCTTTGCTGGTGTGTTATGAAGACTCTGCGCCCCGGGGATGTGGTAGGGATCGCTCCCCCCCAGTGAGCTGTCCCCTCCAGGAGGGGCCTGGCAGCCGTTCAGCAGTGCATGGCACTGCCACCCCCCCGGTGAGGAGAGGAAGAGCAAGCGGCACAGGTCAGTTAGGCAGAAGGGAATTACCCAGCTGGGAGGTGGCCAAGACAAGAGGGTGACAGGGCTGCACCTGCCATGGGCTCTTTGATCACAAGCAGACAACCTCTGCTGCACGTGGCCTATGAAGGAAGTGGCAGGGCGTGGACTGAGTCCTAACCCCGAGGGAACAGCGTCACCTCCTGCAGCATCTTCGAGCTTGTCCTGGCTGGCGGTGAGATCAGGCAGGGCGAGCGGCTGGCTGCTGTTGTCCTGGCTGAGTGGTCAGTTGCCAAGTTACATAGATTTTGCTCTTTTAATCTGCTCATTCTTACAGCACCCAAGCCTGTGCCTGGGACCTCCCAGACCACGTGCTGCCTGGGTCCCTGCCCAAAGCACTTCCAGCCTTAGCCTGATGTGACATGGGCAGCGAGGGGCGACCGGGTGGAGCAGGCTCAGGGTGACAGTCGGAAAGTCTCCCAGCAAAGGCCAGTGGTGTTGGAAGCTAAGCTCCCACTGGCTCTAAGGCAGGGGTGCCTCTTGGTGGCTGTCTAGGTCTTGGTTAATTCCCCCCTTGTCACGGGGGGAGCTGGGGCCTCCAGTTGTATGCAGCCCTGGGATCTTACTGTTGCTTTCAGACTCCCTCCTCTCCCCTGTTTGTCGTGCTCACGGGGTCCTGTTCTCAGTGAGGTTGCTGGCTCTTTGGGGCTGGGACCAGATCCTCCCCTCTGCATTGCCCCAGCATAGGGGTGATCAGGGCCTTCTGCATGCAGCAAACAGGAATGGAGCATCAGCAGGACTCTGGGTGAGGTGAGGCAGGTGCTTTGGTCCGCAGGCTCTAGGAGCCTGGTGCAGGCCAGCGGGGCCGCGTGGAAGCCTTTGTGTGGGGAGGAGGTGAAGGAGGCCTGGAGCTGGTGCCGGGGGGGTGGGGAGAGGGAACAGATCTGAAAAGTGACCCGGTCAGAGATGCAGGCAGGGGCATGACCTGGGACCCAAGCGCCAGAAGTCTGATCTTGATGCTCAGCGCCTTGGGGAGCACAGATTCTAAGGCCAAAGGGACCATAGTGATTGTCTGCTCTGACCCCCTGTGCAGCACAGGCCGGAGAGCTGCCCTGGATTCATTCCTGATGGAACTAGAGCAAAACATCCCATCTTGATTGAAAAATGACCAGTGATGGAGAATCCACCATGGCCCTGGGTAAGTTGTTCCAATGGTTAGTTACCCTTTGTTACACTGAATTTCTCTAGCTTCAGCTTCTAGCCATTGGATCTCGTTAGACCTTTGTCTGCTGGGTGAGGAGCCCTCCAGGATCAAATTCAAGGTGTGGGGAGGACGCCATGGCTGAGGCACCGTGTGCCAGTGAGGAGGAGTTTGGAGGGCGTGGAGAGAGGGGAGGTTGTCTTCCTGGTCACGCAGCCTCTCCTTGGGTATCCTCCCTCCAGCCTCTTTCATCATTTCTGGTGCTTTTCGCTGAATTCCCCCCTTTGCCAGAACAGGTTGGTACTGAAGGGCCTGGCTGGATCACAGCATTCAGGATGTGGACTTGAGCTGCCTCTGCAGCCTGAAATAACACACATGCTTTCAGCATCACCCCACGTATCTCTCCGCTGTCCCAGTGAATGTCTGCGTTGGGCTGTTTTCCCCGGGTGTATTCACCACACTTTTCCAGGCTGAATTCTCCTGTATTTCCAACCTCGCTAGGTTCCTTTGAATTATTTATCTGCGCTTTCCAGTGTTTGCAACACCTCTCTGCTCCGGCTCATCTGCAAATTTAATTATAATTCATTATTCAAGTCAAATGTTGTGAGTCCGTGTCAAACGAAACCCTGGTGGCCAGTGCTTGTCCAAAAGCTCTGGCCAGTAATCCTAGTGAAAGAACTCGTGTTCTGGATAACCCCCGTGGCTTCCCTCAACATTTGCAGAGCGTCTCTTCCGTGTTTGTTCCATTCTTTCACTAGGGATTGCGGTTGGATTTGCCATACGGTGGGGGCCGGGGTTATTGTTCCTTCTCGGCTAGAAAATCAGTACTTCCTTTATGTTTTTCACTCCTCTCCAGAGCTCCGTGATTTTTTACCAATATTGTCTGTAGTTCGGTAGGTTAATTAGCTGACTCCTTGATACCCTACAGTGCCTGGCACCCTGACGAGCTGATTTTAGAGAGAGCGATCTTTGGTTTGCTATTTTCTTTTACCAGCAGCTGTTTTCACAAGTCCTATTTGGGTGGTTAAAGACATTTAAATAATCTCAGCCTTTTTGGAGTCCTGGTTAATTTTATCTCCCTCCTTATTTATTAATAGACTTACTTTCTCTCTAGTGCTGATCCTGTCCCTGATATATTTGTAAAATCCCTTCGTGTTCCCCTTAGCCCTTCATGTCATTAACTCATTCTGCTTTTTGTTGCCTTTTCTTTTCCCTGCAGCTTTGAAGGGACAGTATCGACTTACAAATCACAGTCCTGTCTGAAAATGTTTCCCTTCTATTGTTGCAGGTATCTCTTAAGAGCATCAGGGGAAAGGCTTGATTGAAATCTCTCTGTTTTCCAGTGAGATTCCTGTGTGCCTTTGACAGCACTCCAGCTTTCACTGTCTTCCCTTTACAGTTTATTTCCCCTACTGTTTGAGTGGATCTTTCACACAGCACCAGGGGACAGAGACATTTTAAAAGCACACCAGTCGGCAGCAGTCTCAGGGCAGGAGTAGGCTGTGGAACTACTCCCCAGGCACTTTTGAGAACTGACTCGCTTTGTGCTTTACTCTGTGCCTTTCTTTGGCGCTGTGTCTGTGGGTTCAGTCCCCCGCCCCATTTCTCCATTGCCAGGGCAGCTTCCTGTATCCTCAGCTCTGCCTCTCCCTGGCATGTACGGCCCCTCCCCTGAGTGTCTGAGCTAGTCCCTTGTGGAGCGGATTGGATGGGGGTCGCTGAAGAGTGGTTACCTCTGCTTGCCTCTGAGCTGGTCTGGGTCAGGTGAGTGCCAGGAGCTGTGTTCTGAAAGGCAGCCCTGTGGAGAGGTGTCGGACCTTCCCCTGGCCATGGCTCTGCCTGCAAAGGGTACTGCTATTCTCTGGTCCCTAATCCCTTTAGGATCCTTGACAAGGCGGCAGGGCCGGTTCCTAAAAGTGACCAGAGGAGCAAGCAGATGGGAGTTTTGCAAGGGAGAGTGACAGCCAGATACACCTAACAAACATGCGCTACACTTAGGCCAATAACCCCCCCCCAAAGACCGAACAAACAAATGAAACCCCTGCAAGAGTAAAAATAAGGCAAAGATCGCGGGCAGCCATCCAGCAGCGGAGTGGGGGTGTCCAGTGTATTGCACTGAATGCAGCTTGTCTGATTCCCTGCCCTATGGGCAGGGTGCTCTTGTGAGCATTCAGTGCAAGCAGCTCCTGGCCCTCAGACACCAAGCGTGGGCTCTGGAGACCACAGTGGCTGAAGTGGAGGAGCTGAGGGAGACAGAGAGGTGCATAGAGGAGACTTTTCTGGAACATAGCAGAGTGGTCCCACCCCCGTCTGACAGCACTGTGCTGTCGAGGAGGATGAAAGTCTCGGGGAAAGAGAACATCAGGCTGGAGTGGAAGGAAACGATCCCATAGTTGGGACCCTTCTTCCAGGTGATGTCATGGTGCATCTGAAGAAGTGGGTTTTTTACCCACAAAAGCTTATGCCCAAATAAATCTGTTAGTCTTTAAGTTGCCACCGGACTCCTTATGGTATCCTCTGGCCCTGAGGTCCCCAGTTATTAGGAAGGCAATAGTAATGCGGGATTTGATTATTACAAATCTAGATAGCTGGGTTTGTGATGACTAGGAGAACCTCATGGTGACTTGCCTGCTGGGTGCCACCACTTGAGGCATGAGCTGGTGGTCATGGTACGTATAGATACCAATGATGTAGGGAAAAGCAGGTGAGAGGTTCTGGAGGCCAAATGTAGGCTGTTGGGTAAGAGATTGAAGTCCAGCACCTCCATGGTAGCATTCTCTGAAATGCTTCCAGTTCCATGCTCAGGGCCAGGTAGACAGGCAGAACTGCAGGGCCTCAGTGCGTGGATAAGATGATTTTGGGAGGAGGGATCTAGATTTATTAGGAACGGGGAATATTTGGGGAAAGGAGGATATCCTAGTAAAGAGGAGACGATAGAAGTTGATAAAATACAGGTAGGAACTGAAGAGAAACAGTCAAATGAAAGAGAGTCCCATTCAGTTCCATCACATGAAGGCAGGCAACCAAATAGTGACACATTTTGTCAGTACTTGTGTACAAATGCTAGAAGTCTAAATACTAAGATGGGTGAACTTGAGTGCCTGGTAGTAAATGAGGATATTGCTATAATAGGCATCACAGAAACTTGGTGGAATAATGATAATTGATGGGACATTGTAATACTAGGGTACGAAATATGTAGGCATGACAGAGTAGGTCACTGATGAGCTAGTGGCACTGTATGTGAAAGAAAATATAGTCAAATATAGTAAAACTGTTGAATGAAACTGTACCATAGAATCGCTATGGATAGAAATTCCGTTCTTGAATAGTAAGAGTAGCAATAGGAATATACTGCCGACTGCCCACCACCTGACCAGGGTGGTGACAGTGACTGTGAAATGCTCAGGGAGATTAGAGAGGCGACAAAAACAGAAAATCCAATAGTAATAGTGGATTTCAGCTACCCTGTATTGACCGGGTACATATCACTTCAGCCCAGGATGCAGAGATAAAATTTCTAGACACCATTAATGACTGCTTCTCGGAGCAGCTTGTCTTGGATCCTCCAAAGGGAGAGACAGTTCTTGATTTAGTCCTCTGTGGAGCACAGGATCTGGTCCAAGATGTGAATAGAGCTGAACCGCTTGGTAATAGCATCACAGATCCACAGGGCTGGTGCTCTGACCCCAGCTTTGGAACAGTCTCTCGGAAGAGCTCTTCAATGAGCCAAACCCCCTAAGGGTCTTGCTTTTCTCCAGGGTAAGCCACACCGCTTCACCACCTCCTTAAGAACCTCTGGTCCTTCAGCACCTGTGGTTCACACTGAGCTCCGGCCAGTGAGTCCAACTGAGGCAGACCCCGAGGGAGACGAGTAGAGGCTTAGGGAGCCAGGCAGCTCCTCCGCCAGCGGCTGCAGGGACACTCAGCCAGCGTGGCCGACAGGCGGGTTTATTAGTTGACTGGACACAGCACAGGAAGTCCTTGGTTAGCCCAGAGAAAAGGAAGTGACCGCCTAGTCCATCCTGCTCAGCACAGAGCCCAACCCCCATCCCTCTGACCTGTCTTTGTCCCAGTTCAGGTGCCCCGATTGCTTCCCATAGCCACCACTTAACTCCCACCTCACCCCCAGGCCTTTGTTCCCCAGCTGGGCAAACATGGCTTGGCTTTCTGCTGAGAGTTGGGGCCATCCATGGTGGCTGGTCGCTAGGGATCAAAGTCCCAGTGATTGGGGTTGCCATTGTCTTCTCACAAACTCCCTGGATATGGGGCCCAAGCCCCAGACAGCTGGGAGCCATCCACACCTGAGTCTCTGAGCTGCTGCAGAGAGCAAACAGCCCTTTCTACCCCTGGGGTAACCCTGCAGCACATAAGGGAAACTGAGTAACAGATAGGCTTCAGAAAAATGTTTGAAAAACTTTCCACTCTGTCATAAATAGTGACCATAATGAAGTTAAATTTCATATCCTTGTAGGGTGGAAAATACTAAAGCAGGGGTAGGCAACCTATGGCACATATGCCGAAGGCGGCACGTAAGCTGATTTTCAGTGGCACTCACACTGCCCAGGTCCTGCCCACCACTCCGGGGGGCTCTGCATTTTAATTTAATTTTAAATGAAGCTTCTTAAATATTTTGAAACCTTATTTACTTTATATACAACAATAGTTTAGTTGTATATTATAGGCTTATATAAAGAGACCTTCTAAAAAGGTTAAAATGTATTACTGGCACACGAAACCTTAAATTAGAGTGAATAAATGAAGACTCGGCCCACCACTTCTGAAAGGTTGCCGACCCCTGTACTAAAGAAACCCACCACAGCAGCATTTAACTTCAAAAAGGGAGAACTACTCAAAAATGTGGAAGCTAGTTAATGGAGATTAACAGTCACAAGAGGGAAATGCCTGCAAGCTGCATGGAAACGACTTAAAAACGCCTCAGTAGACGCTCAAACGAAATGTATAACCCACATAAAAAAAAGAGGGCCAAAAAATAC